CATGGGTTTTGCACATGGCTGCTCCATGTCCGCGTGGTCCTGGGGTCGGGTGGACCTGCTGCCCGCCTCGAGCCCTTCAGCTGGCCCGGCCACCCCTTGCTTCGGTGTGATCAGCCTCACAATGGCCGCAGGAGCATCCTTCCCCGGCTCCACCATGGGAGCCTCGGCTCCTTGCCAGGGACGTGTCTGTGCTTTCCCGCTGCTGGGCACCGCTGAGACTTCATGGGGATGTTCAGCTCCTTCTTGGTGGCCAACGCTGGGTGGGACCTCGTGCACCCCTGAGGGTGGCCCCGGGCCCTCGCCAGCATCCACATCTCCCCGGGGAGCACTGGGCTCCTCTGCCAGTTTCTCCCGGTTGCCTGTCCCCAGGGCTGGGCTGTCCCGCTGTCCTTCTGCCTCTCCCCTGCCGTACCCCCAGCCTGTGGCTTCCCAGGCAGTGCCGGCGTTGTTGTTGTGCTGGCAGGGCACCATCTGCCCCTGCCCCGGGCAGGCGGCGGCCTCGCTGCCGAGCCTCTGACTGCTCCACACGGGGCTTTTGGTGGCAGGGTCTCGGCCGATCCCCCCAAGGGACATGGCCGACGTCTCTGCCAGGCTGGGCCTCTCCCTCCTGCTGCCCCCCTCCTGCTCGCACCCCCTCTTCCTGAGGCTCCCCTCGCCCTCTCTCCTCCTCTTCAGGATGCTTTTCCCCCTGGAGCGGTTGAAGGCTTTGATGGCGAGTCCCAGGCCCCGGAGGGAGGTCTTCTGGGAGGGCGGCTTGAGGCTGGGGGGGGTGGCCGCTGCATCACCAGGGGTCCCCGAGTCTGCTGCTTTGGTGGCTTTTTGCTTCTGGCTCAGGATCTCCTCCTGGACCAGCTCCCAGGGGCAGACCTGTGCCGGGATGGAGGCAGTGGTCAGCAGCCTGCCCTTCCCCACCAGTGGGGACATGTGCCCTAGCTCTTCCTCCGCAGGCCCCTCCGCTGTCCTCTCTGTCTCTCCCGCCCGTGCTGGGGGGTCCGCGGGCGGCTCTGCTGGCTCTGGGCTGTCCCCGGCCGGCGCGGCATGCCGCACCAGGCTCTGGTAGCGGATGGGGGGCCGGGGTCCTCCCCCCCGCCACCCGCACCCGCCCCGGGATGTGGGAGCTGTCGACGCTGATGCTCTTGATGGGTGCGTAGGTGACGTGTTTCTGCACCTTGCCATCACCCGGGGGGGACGTGTCCTCCTGGGAGCACCCCTCAGTGGGGCTGGAGCCGGCTGGTGGGAGGGCATCAGCTGCACCGGGGCTTTGGGGCTTCCCAGCTTCCTTGGGGGGTCCCTGGCCCGTGGGGCGCTCCGAGGACGGGGCAGAGAGGTGCCGGTGGGTGTGCCACGTCTCCCGTGCAGCTCGGCTGGCGGCGAGCAGGGCCTCTTCCCGCGCACCGGCAACGATGCTGAGCGACTTCTGCAAGGGGGCTGTGTGGGGCAGGGGGGACTGCCCGTGCCCCGCAAGGTTGTGGGCGCTGGCCGACTTGCACACGAGTGGGGCAGCGTCGAGGGACTCGCTGTCGGAGTGCTCCGAGGCCGTCACCGCCATCATCTTCCTGGGCGAGCCTCCCCGGGGCTCCCGCACGGGACCCTCAGTGCTGCGGGACTTGCGCAGGGCTGCGGTGCGGCGCCGGGAGCCGTCATCCCGCATCCTCAGGCTGGCACCGCTGGCATCAGGGAGTCGCTTGGCTGAGGAGCCGCGGCGTGCCGGGGTGCCCACCCGCTCCCCCCTGCTGCGCCGGCGTGCCGCAGCCTCGGGCAGCTCAGCGACGCGGCGCATGATGGAGCGGCCCAGGCTGCGGCGGGAGCTGCGCTTCTTGGGGAGGTGGGGGTTGTTGGCTGCCATCCTCCACGTCTTGTGCACCTCCAGCTGCGTGTAAAGCTTCTTCAGCTCCTCCTGCGTGCCGCGGGCGGGGGGATGCGGCAGAGAGAGGGGGGAGAGAGGAGAGCACGTACAATGGGACTGCACAGGGGCTGCGCTGGGACGACCCTGCAAAGCCCCAGCTTGGCTCCTAGGGCCAGGCTGTCCCCATGTCCCCAAGCGCCCACGCTGCCCATCCCTCTGACCCAGGGGATGCAGCAGGTTCCCCACCCGTGGCCGGTGGTGGCTCACCCTGCACCCCCTTCTCCCCTCCCTCTGCTTTGCATCAGAAGAAAGATTGCAAAAGGCACCTCTTACTCTGCGCGGGGCTGCATAGCTAGCGTCAAAAGAAGGTCCTGAGTGTGCCACCCACCCGAATGTCATCGGGGTCGAGACTGTGCTCGCTCCAGGCGGACGCGATGCTGCTGTTCAGGCAGGAGCCCGAGCGCCGCATGTCCAGCTCGTCCTCGTAGACCTCAGCTGCGATCTCCTCCCGCAGCGGCGAGCCGGCGTGCAGGAACTGGGGGTGGCGAGGGGCGAGCTCGCCGAGGGGTCCCTGAAACACCGGGGAACCCCGGCCCTGTCTCCCTGAGTCCCCAGGCCGAGCGTTACCTTCGGGATGAAGAGCAGCGCCAGGGTCGTGGTGACGGTGCCATGGGTGTGAGCGAAGAAGAGCAGCAGGGTCCAGTCGGGGTGCAGGGAGGGGACCACGATGAACCTGGAAGGGGCAAGGAGGGCAGCACCGGGTCCCCACAGCCCCCTCCCCACCTCCGGACCCCACAGCCTCCACCCTGCCTGGGGAGCCACGCAGGGAACTCGCTGGCTTCAGGGATTTGCCGCCAGTTCCTCCGCATCACTGGGAATGGGAATCTCGGTTCCCAGCCCCGTTGCGGCCCCGCGCCCTACCTGACCACGTGGAAGGCGGCTGAGATCATGAGCTCGTTGTGGAGCGCGATGCCCATGTAGCGGGGCTCGTGGAAGGCGGAGGGCACGGCACGCGTGGCGTAGCACAGAAAGCTGCCCCACAGCAGGAACAGCATCTCAGCTGTGGGAGAGAGCAGGGGAGTGATGCTGAGCACCCAGCCCCATCACCCTGCTGCCGTCAGTGTGTTTTCCTGGGTGGCACCGATGGGTGCTGAGCTTCGTGGTGGGCACTGCTGCCCGCTGGGACCTCCCTGCCTCGGGGCGCATCCAGCCCAGCATGTTCACCCCGGCTGCCTTGGTCGGAGCCGGGTCCAGTGCAGAGCATCCTCCGGCACAGCCTTCCCGAAGGCCACCAGGACTCACCGCCCGTGCCAGGTGATTTACCCTGTGCCAAGGCGAATCCTGGGGATGCTCAGAGGAGAGGGCGGGAGGCAGTTCAGGTGCCCCAGCCCCGCTTGCAGGCTCCAGGCAGATTAAATGGACAAGGAAATTAAAACCCCATGTGCCACATTTACGGGATGGGGTCCTGGGGCTGTGAGGACCCCCCAGGACACCGCGGGGGCTGGTCTCACCGATCACCATCATGTAGTCCCAGCGGTCATGGCCGCAGATGTAGAAGTGGAGCCCGCGGGCGGTCTGGGTGCGGATCACCAGCGGGATGTTCTTGTCGACGTTCTCCAGCATCCCGATGGTCCAGGCCGCCAGGAACCACAGCACCAGCAGCAGGATCAGCCCCAACATCTTCAGCACCCGCCCGCTCGACACGTAGGGCACCCGCTGGGCCGTGCGGGACAGGAACACCTTCAGCACCCTGCGAGGCGCAGAGCGGTGAGCCCCCAGCCGGTCCCTGCCGCGGGGGTCCCAAGCATCCAGCCCCCCGTCCCGGCTACCTGTACAGCTTGAGGGTGATGGTGCCGTAGACGATGGCGAAGCCGAGCATGCGCACCCAGCGCAGGACGATGCAGCGGAAGATGCTCGGCTTGAAGTACAGGATGAACACCTGGGGCGGCGGGAGAGGGGTCGGCGGGCAGCACGGGGCCGGATCCCGCCTGCCAGGGGGGCAGCAAATGCCGGAGACTTGGAAACCACCCGCTTTCGGGCCAGCCCTGCTGCCTCCCTTCCCCCTTGGCTCTACAGCATCCGCCGCAGCTCTTGCGGGAGGGAGAGGGGATTTGGGCAGGGATTAATTCCCACAGCCAGCGGGAGAAAAGGGATTTGGTTTCCTGAGAAGGTTTATACCACAGCGGCCGGGGGCCGTGCCAGCAAAATTAACAATTAGGTGGAGTTGTGCCCGTGCCCTGCTTGGGGCCGGCTCGACGCCTGCTCCCGGAGGGCAGCTGGCCAGGCTGCAAATGCTCTGAAACGCCAGCCCAGGGGCTTTCAGCCCCGGGGCCAGCTGAATACTCACAGGGAAGTAGAGGAGGAGGGACCCGAAGAGGATGGTCTCCAGGAGGATGACTCCCGATGCCTGGATCCTCTGCAGGGACAGAGGCGTGAGGGGGCAGCCGGGAGCCTGGGCCGGTGCCCGGAGGGGACGGAGCCAGGGCAGGGAGATCGCCCTGAGCCTGCTGGGCTGTGACATCCTTCCCGCTGCTGTGACATCCCCCCTGAGGTCTGGGGCTGGGAGGGGAGCGGGGCAGGGGATGGCGGGTGGAGGGGAAGGACCCGGGGATGCCTTGCCTTGCTCCGTCGGAAGTGGTAGGAGATGAGCATGCTGAGGAAGACGGCCAGCATGCAGCAGGCCTGGCAGGAGAGGATGGCCGCCCGCAGCACCCGGTCCTCCTGGATCAGGCAGGGTGCATCGTCCTCGCAGGTGGCACATCCCTGGCGGCAGGGCTGGCACGCCAGCCGGGACCCCCCGGCCGCCCCCGCTGCGCTCTCTGCCGTGCCTGGGGAGAGAGCGACGGCCAGGTGAGGCCACCGCATCGTGGATGTGGCACTTTCCTTGCCAGGGCACGTGCTCGGGCTTCCCAAAGCCCCCCCATCCCCGGTCTCCGCTGCTGTAGCCACGTGCCACAGGGTGAAACGGGGACCCCAGGGCCAGGCACGGCACCCACCTGCCCGGGCACCGCCGGCCACTCCGCTGGCCCCGTAAAAGCCTGGCTTGCAGAGGCACAGGTACCTCCCGAGGACGAAGCCACGGCTCTCCTGGGGGACACACTGAAGGAGACAGGCTGAGACGCACGGAAGAGCAAGGGCTCATCCTGCACCCCGAATGCTCCCCCCAGCCCCGCATCTCCCCCTGCACCAGGGGCTCCGGCAGCCCCTGGCTCGCAGGTACCCAACCCCACACCCTCCTCCCCTGCGCCCAGAAGGAATCAGTGGTTACACATTTAAGAATTAAAAGCCAAAGCTTGGCCCTCAAATCCCTCCCTAAAACCTAAATGGACATCTAATGCAGCAGAGAGCACTAATCCTGCCGGGCCGTGACGGCAGCGGCAGGCAGGGCACCGCTTCCCTAATCCCCGCGGCCTCTGCGGGGCGGTGTGGCCGGATCCTGCCCCGAACGGGCCGGGCATGCGGTTCTTCTGGGTATTGTTGTTTTCTGGAGAGATGCCCGGCGGCAGAGCCCGGCCCTCCGGAGGGCATCGCCCGCGGGGCGCTGGCAGGAAGGAGAAGCTGGTGACGCCTTTCCCGCTGGGGAAGGGCTCTTTGCCTTGGCGGTGAGACCCTGATCCACACTGAGCTGGGGGGCTGCGGGGTTTGCCCTGGCAGGGGATGCTGCTGGTCCTGCTGAGCCCTGAAACACGCTCGGGCATCACCGTCTTGCCCAGGTGGGCACGGCCAGAGGGGATCGAGGGGTGCTGGTCGGGGTGCTTCACCTGCTGGGTGCCAGCCCCCGGAGCTCGGCCGTCCCCGCGGTGCCTGGGCAGGGAGCAGCCAGGTCACACGCTGCTGCTGGCGGTGGGGAAGGAAGATTTGCACAATAAACCCCTCGACTGTGGCACCGAGAGCAGCTGAACGAAGCAGATGGATCAGCCAGGAGCGGATAAAGCTCAGCCGGGAGGGAGGGCATGCTGCAGGGCCAGCCCGGCCGGGGGGACGGGGACGGTTCGGTGCAGGGGAGCCCCAGCCCTGCCAGGCAAGGGGATGGGGTGCAGGGCGCCGGCGGCCCATACCTGGGTGCTGTTGAGGTCGCAGTGGTGCGTATCCGTGAACCAGCCCGGCCCGCTGGCGCACTGGTCAATGGCCACGTCCCGCAGCTCGATGTCCACCCGCACGACGCCCCTGCGCAGAGGGATGGGGTTGGCCCTGGGGGCCGCACAAGGGCACCCCTGTGCCCACCTCGTGCCCCCCACCCAGCGTGGCCCTGCCCCCCCGCTGCCTCTGCGGGAGGCAGCCCCAGGGGCCGCTGGTGCTGGTGCATGGACTGGTGGGACAACACGAGGTGTCAGGAATGTCCCCGGCCCCCCCAGCCAGGGATGTCCCCCCTCAGAGCCGCATCTGGGGGCGTTTGGAGCTGGGGCAGGGACACGGGCAGCAGCTCCTGGGTGTGGATTCTGCCTCTCAAGAGGGGCTTTAATGCAACTGATATTGGGAAATAGGAGCTGCTGGGGTGGCCCCTGGATGCCGTCCCTCGCCCTGCAGGATCGACCCTCTTCCCTGGGTGCTCCGAGGGGGACGGGGCTTCCCCCTTGGAAATGGGGCCATGTCCCCTCTCTGAGGCCAAGCCCAGGTGCCCCCCTCCCTCCCCAGTGCCTCCCACCGTGGCTCCTTGCGTGGGGGTGCCGGGGATGCGGCAGGGACCCCCAGCCTGGGGATGCCCCCCAGCTCCCAGGAGGGGCCCCAGCCCAGCTCACCCACCCTCAGCGCGGCCGCGGCAGGGGGCTCGGGGGGCGGCAGCCCGAGGTGGGCAGCATGGGGACGACCGAAGGGGGATGGGAGGCAGCTCCGTCCCTGTGGACGTGCAAATACCCCCGCACACGCACGTGCACACACACGCATGGGGACACAGGCAGGGGGCTGGCACACACCTTGCAACCCGCTGCCTGCACCCGGGGGTGATGCCTCCAGCTGCACCCCCCGGCATGCACACGGGGCACCCCCAGCCCCCTCACACCGCCCCAGCCCCTCCGGGTACCGCTTACTTGAACTCAGGGCTGAGGTCCGGCTTGAGCCCGTAGAAGGCGGAGGAGAGCGTGACTGCCCAGGCGGGCAGGAACCGGCCGTCCCGGCACTCGAGGAACGGCGGGGACCACCGCACGTGGCCCGGCTCCCCCACGTAGCTGTCGCCCCGCTGCCACTTGGGGGTCTCCATGCTGCGCAGGTCGTTGCTGAGCAGGCGCTTCTGGAGGAGGGGGCTCCGCTGGGACTTGAGGGCGTTGAACCATTCGTTGTCCCAGCTGAGGTTGCCGAGGCTGGGAGCGGCAGCGGAGATGTCCTGCAGCAGGATCTCGTCGTCCCCCTTGGTGGCCTGCAGCATCAGCCGGGGCTTGGCGGCCAGCGGGTGGGCGTCGAGGGCGAGCACCGCCCGGCGCACCCATGGGTGCCCCTCCGCCAGGCTGCGGACCAGCGCCTGGTACCACTCCACGTCCTCGGCCACGCTGGCTTCGCGGATGTCGTTGGTCTGGAAGAGCATGTTGAGGAAGTTGGCGGCGTGGGCCAGTGCCTCAGGGGCGGCACGCAGGGCGGCACGCAGCACTGGGGGGGGGCCGGGGCTGGGAGCCCCCGCCGCGACGCCCCGGCTGCAGTTGGCCCGGGCCAGCCGCTGCGCATCGCCCGTCTGCAGGAAAGCCAGTGCCGCCGCCGAGCCCTCGGGGTCCCCCGATGCTCCCGGCTCCAGCGTGGGCGCCCAGGAGGACGATGGGGCCGGGGACCATCCCGCCGGCTGGGGGGGTCTCCCCTGCGGCCGCTGGCCCTCCGCGAGGACGGTGCCATGGACCAGCGCCACGTGCAAGTACCAGAGCAGCGGCCACCACCACGGCCCCATGGCCAGGGCTCAGCGGAGCCCCCCGGCCCCCTGCGGCCCCGCCGGCCGGCCCGGGGGGGACATGGCGGGCACGCTGCCCGAGCCGGCCGGGAGCCCGCTCTGTTCTGCGGGGCCGGACTCGCACTCTGCCGCCTGTTTTCCTCCCTCGGCGATGCCGGAGCAGACGTCACTGGCTCCAAAACGTGTTCATCTGCTGGCGCTGCCCGCCCGGAGCCCCCCCCGTCCGCCCCCGCGCTCCCGCTTGGGTAGGCCGCGCTGGCGGGGAGCCCCCTGCCCTGAGCCCCGTGGGGACCCCTGCGTCCCCTGGGCTGGCCATGATGCAAGCGCATCCTGATGGGAAGCCATGGCAACGGGGCCGGGAATTTTCCTCCCAGCATCCCCCTCCCCGCGGCCCCCTTGGCAGCCGGGCGGGAGAAGGTTGCCCGCTGGTTGCCCATATGGTCCCGGGCTTTGGTCCTGCAGTGCCCGGCCCCCCCGGCCACGGGGTGGAAATGGGGGGGCTGGCACAGATGCGGGATGTCCCTGCGGGGCTGAGGGTGGTGAGAGCGGTGGGGGGGTGGGCAGGACCACGGGCCCCACGGCAGGGCCTGACGCCCCCCCACCCCAAGCTGGGGGATGATGCCCTGGGTCCCACGCAGCACTGTCCTGGTTGCAGAGGGGAAACTGAGGCACGGGAGGCTGCTCCCCACCCCACCCCGCCTAAAGCAACAGTGACTTCCCTCTTCACCAGCCTCCAGGCAGGTGTGGGGAGAGCTGGGCCCATCCCCTCGCCTCCAGTGGGGCGTGCTGCCTGCAAGAGCCGTGCAAGAGCTGTGCAAGAGCTGTGCAAGAACTGTGCAAGAGATGTGCAGCAGCCATGCAAGAGCTGTGCTGCAGCTGTGCAAGAGCCGTGCTGCAGCTGTGCAGAGCCATGCAAGAGCTGTGCAAGAGCTGTTGCAGCTGTGCAAGAACCGTGCAAGAGCTGTGCAAGAGCTGTGCTGCAGTTGTGCAGAGCCGTGCAAGAGCTGTGCAAGAACCGTGCAAGAGCCATGCAGCAGCCATGCGAGAACCATGTAAGAGCCGTGCAAGAGCTGTGCGAGAGCCATGCCAGAACCGTGCAAGAACTGTGCAAGAGCGGTGCAGCAGCCGCGCAAGAACCGTGCAAGAGCCGTGCAAGAGCTGTGCAAGGGCCGTGCAGCTGCTGTGCAAGAGCTGTGCAGAACCGTGCAAAAACCGCGCAAAAACCGCGCAGAGCCGCGCAGGGCTCGAACACAAAGGTGCCGGACGCCCGTGCCTCGGTCTCCCCGGGCTCCCCCGGGCGCCCCCGCTGCCCGTGCAGGCCC